CCCCCCCCCCCCCCCCCCCCCCCTCAAAAAAAAAAAAGAAGAAAATTAGTGATAAAATCAACACTATCCAAATCATTAATTTACGAGGCGGGCGTCGACCTTTCCTGTCAGGACCAACTCCAGCTGCTTCCTAAGAGAGCGCTCAATCGTTACATGCAGAAGACGCGGGTTCGATTCCTGTGTGGAGCAAATGTTTATCAAATGTCTTGGTCTTTCTGCGAGAATGTTGTTTTCCTCAGCCTGGGTAGTCCAACTTGAAGCCCGCCTCCTGAATCATCCTAACTGTGTCATAGGGGTGCGTAAAACACTCAATTGTTTTTAAAACCTGTTTGGCTGTAGCTGAGACTTTTCCCTAAGCTCAAGTCCGGTTGCAACAAATTGACCTGCATTCTTAATCTGTAAAGTGTATACCGGGGTCGAAGCTTCGAAAACATAATGTGTGAAATTATTTAAGTTTAACGCCCCTTGCAACACCGTAGTGTTAATTAAGAGGTGAAGTTAACGTTCATCCCCGGTAGGACCAAGACAAATTATGGGAAAATTCGTGCAAAATACTTTTCCCAAAGACACAACGCTGGGATGAACTGAGCCTTGAACCCTTGAACCCGAAATCTCACAATTACGAATCCGTTGGCCTTACCACGAGACTACCTATGCAACGTTGAGTATGTCCGACTTCCAAATGATCATAGTTTTCATTTTTAAACTCTACACTTTGCTTCCCATGACTGCCTGTTTCCTTGCGTCCCCAGGAATACATCAAGAGCGACCCTTCCGGGCGTAACCCTGACAACACAGTCATCCTGCAGATCAAACAAGGACTCGAACCTCCGGCCTTTACCGGACACTTTATGGGCTGGGACCCAGAGAAATGGAGTGTGAGAACAATTGACAGCTTTTGTCTCAGTACCTATTGCGATAGTATTATATCAGTACTTGCTAGCTTAGGCGATATCGCCCACAAGTGGTGTTCCATTTGGCAATTTTGGTGAGCAGAGGGGATAATCTAGGTAATGACAGGTGATATTTAATGGCCTGCTAGGAAATTAATGTAGGTGGGCAGTACGAAAATGTTCGAATGTTAAAGGTAGCAAAATTGGGAGCTGGCTATACATTAAAATGATGCCAAACACTGGTGTACATCATCCTCTGTTTCTATTTGCTTTTTTATCTGGTCCTTTCTTCTCCCCATCCTTTTCCTTTCCAGCCCCCCTCTCTCCATGGTCCTGTTTCCCCTCCCCTCCTGTCTCGCTCTATTAACTCTCTCTCTCTCTCTCTCTCTCTCTCTCTCTC